GATGTGTTCGTGACGGGAGGTATCGGAGGCGTACACCGAGGCGTTGAACACAGTTTGGACATAAGCGCCGATTTGACAGAATTGGGCCGAACGCCGATTGCCGTCATCTGTTCCGGCGTTAAATCAATACTCGATATTCAAAAAACGTTGCAATTTCTTGAAACTCAAGGCGTTTGTGTTGCGGTGTTTAATGGCGATCAACAAAGTCCTCAAAAAGTTGAATTTCCAGCATTTTTTAGTCGTAAGAGTGGATCTCAAGTGAACTATAATCTAAAGACCGCGGAGGAAGCGGCGCGTCTTATATTACATAGAAATCAATTGTCTCTAAACTCGGGTATTGTAATTGCGGTCCCGATTCCACTCCAACAACAATCAGATGGAGAATTAATTACTAAGTCTATCGATGAGGCCATCATTGAAGCGAAGTAATCGATGTTATAATATATAGAAAATATGCAATAAATTAATGAAAATTGAATTCGCAGTGAAAAAGGCATAATCGGCAAAGAAGTGACACCATATTTGCTGAAACGAGTTAATCAATTAAGTGGTGGCCGTTCTCTCACGTCAAACATTGCTCTCATAGAAAATAACGCTAGAATTGGGGCTGAAATAGCTTTTCAATACAATATGCTATTAAACGTATCGAAACAACGTTTGATTAATACGTCTAACGATACGATTGATTCAAAACGGATAAACAAAAGCAATAAAAGCCATTATTCTTTTGAGTTATCGAAGACTAGTATTAGTGAATCGATGGCCAAATCGGGACATCAAGAAGAAGGTCCAAAAGAAGAACGAAACGACAATCAATCAGATGAGTCGAGTCCTGTCTGTGTTTTTATAGCCTTATTGTTTTGATGTGTACTTATTCTCAAAGCGATTCTTTTGTTTTCTTCTTCTTCTGGTGGAAAAATGTTTGTCGATATTTAGGTAGTGATCGGCGGATCGATATATGACATCGTGGCTGACGCTAACACCGACTCATTACGTGTGAGTAAATCGATAAGTGCTATAAAAACTCGCTTTTTCTCATTTGTCGGATATTTAATTACAATTAATAAACTCTGGCATTGCTTCGCATGCAATGCACTGTTAGTTCGCTAACAATTATTTTTTTTCGATCGCAACTGAATTTGTTTGTCATAAGAATTTGTTTGAATTGATTTCCTATCACTCATGTAATACAATACTTTCACTCATGTATAATATAATATAATATATTCTGCGAAAGTAATTGAAGCAAAAAAATTTTATACTGAATGTTAGGTTTGAATGACATTATTCTTTATGCAATTTTATTAATTTCTTGAATTAATATATTCGCAAATTTATTGAAATATCTTTAAATCTTTATCATTAATGAATTTTTTTCTTTAGTCGTCAACTTTTCTAGGATTCCAATTAACTTTTTTTGAAATTTGAATCTTTATTAATGTTAAGAATGCGGATAATATTTACAGAAATGTGAGAGCAATTCTTTGAGCAGAATATTATAACAAGGTTTGCAAACAAAGCTTTGGACATCATTCCGATAATAAGACATCAAATTGAAAGCATTCTTAAAAGTTATACAATATGTTCTCATCTGATTAAAGATGTTAGTGGTAACATTTGTGCAATGATTAAGGCTAAATTTAAGGAATATTTAGGCTAATTTTTTAACCACTATATATTAGCGACATTTATATTGCACATATTAACTAAATAAATCACTAATTTGTGTAATTTAAGCCAAATTACTAATTATTTTCAAAAATAAGTCGTTTAAGTATTACTCAAAACAGTTTAGTTATAATAAATTTATTGTTAAACAAAAGAATCTTAAGATTCATGCTTTAAGTAAAATATTCACAGAATATATGACAGAATTTCCAAGAATTAAAAAGAATATTTAATAACTTTAAAATATTTAGAAAACCAAAAGACTTTTAGACAGAAATCCAATTTATTTCAAGTGATAATTGTTCCAATTAGTATGCAGATCATACATTTCACATAATTAAAAATGTCTAATTAAAAATACACAATAATTTCATATTCATAATGTTTCAAAATTTAGCCTAAATTAAAGATTCACTTGAATACAGTATGTCACTAAAATTGTCATCCCTACATTAGCATTAACATTGTAGGTTTAACATTAGACCCATATTAAAGTATAAGAATAGAATTAACATTTAAGCCAAGCGGCGTGAGAGAGATGTATGATTCTATAAACTAACAATTTTACGCAGAATTGAGACTAAAAATTCAATTCTTTATATTATATGTTAAACCATTTATATTGAATTATATTTATTATAAATATTGTTTATTATTTATACAACTTTTATAATACATTTTTGTATAAATTTACTTTTATTAACAATATAATTATATATTCACTCAAAAATATAATGGATTTGATGTTATTTTTCATACACTTGTTATAAACTTCACTATAATAGTAGTTTTAGTAGAGCTATATTATGATGTAAACTGTTTTTGTGGTCATTATATTTTATGAATTCCTTAACATGTTTAATGTATGAGTGAATTAACTACATAGGTTTGTACTGAACATGGCTATTTTTGAGACTAATGTAATTTTGTTTTAACAAAATATAGTATAACTATAAATATTAAATTTAATGTAATTGAATTTTGAATGGAAAAAGGGATCGTTTGAAAGACGTTCATAATATATAATATAAAATGAATTAAAATGACATCTTATGATAGCTGTGAACAAAGATTATATCGATTTGCAAATGCAGTCTTTGGAGAGACAATAGATAAGAATGGTATTGAAAATAGAGTACATCTCAGATAAGAGGGATGTAGTCATGACAATAAAGTGCTTACTTTCTGTGCCAACAATCGCTAATACAATCATTTCGGGCATAAAATACTTTTATCGCTGAATTTATTGAAAAACATTATAAATAAAACAAAACATTAGATTTTATTTATAAATTTACTTTTAATAATATTTTATCTGTAATTTTTATTTTGAAAAAACACAAATAAAAGTTTTAAATTTTACATAACTTTTTTGCTCTACAAGAATGTATCGATTAGTAGCGGTATATAACGTAACTTATCTATATATTTATTTATTTTTTCTTTATAAAATTGTAATAATAATATTACAAAATATACAATTTTAAATTGCTGTCCAAAAAACTATCTCAATATAAGTTTTTATTTATACATTCAGAATATATTGAGAAGAAGGAATTCAAATGGTATGCTTTCATCTCGATCATTTACTCAATTTAATGGTAAGTCAATTGAGTGTATTCTGAGTGAATACATGTTGTATAGACTGATGGCTTATACTTTGTTCATCTTAAGAATCCATTATAAAAATGAGTGATGAGATCAGGTCTGCAATACATGACAACAGGCCTATTGTGGCCCTGGAATCCACTATCATTACACACGGAATGCCATTCCCTATTAATTTGCAGTTAGTCTTTGTATTATAAGAGCATTATTAAGTTTTTTATACGTTTACTCATTAATTGATTGACAGAATGGCACTAAATGTGGAGACATTAGTGAGAAAAAGAGGTGTCATTCCGGCCACCATTGCTGTAATCGACGGCAAAATATGTGTTGGACTTAATAAACAACAAATGCTATTACTATCTGAAGGTACGAACAAATCATATAAATATTGCACATATAATAGTTTTCCATTGCATGCCATAGAATGTAATTATTTAATTTATATGACAAGTACTTTATTTTTTGTACAAAAAATAAATTACAAGAATTTGAATATATTTTTAGACGCTATTTGAATAATTAATTTACAATTTAAATATTTCATGAGATTTTAATAAGAAAACTAATTCTTAAAATTTAATTTTACAATTCTTAGTTTCAAA